TTTAACGTGTTGCCCCAGTTAAGCTTTTGAGGTCTTGGACCACAGTATGAGGTCATAGCTACTAGGAATTGATTCATCCCAGGAAATCATCAGCGCTTCTGACATCCCTGTTAGAGAATTTTATTTAGCTTTTTCCATATCTGCTTCTTTTGCCCTCAGGCGAGGGCGTAAAAGAAGGAAGTAAATACATACATAATTCCTGAGAGAAATTTGGAGGATTCTTGTCTCTTTTTAAACAGGCTCTCATTGTACTGTCGTTATTGGGAGTGGAGGACCTGTTGCTCTCTATGTTCTCCCCATTTGGCAACGGATATGATGCACAGAAGATTTTGAACATTGTCTTATACATATTCAAACAACTGGGGGTTGTTTGTAGATTAAGAAATTTTATTTACGATCAAGCCTTCCCATCATTTATCACTATTAACCTTACAGTTCTCATTGCATTTCTAAAATCAATGTTTTCATGGTCACTAAATAACAGGTGGAAGATGACCAACTAATTCAATTTTACCCTTTTTGAGATGTGCTAAATCAGGTTGTCACCTTGAGCCCAGAGCGAAGTACTTTCCAGTGATATTTTAAGTCTTTAAGTCTTTTCTTCCTTCCTTCCTTTCTTTTTTTTCTATTTTTTAAATTTAAATTAGAAACAAGCTTGTTTTACATGTCAATCCCAGTTCCTTCTCCCTCCCCTCCTCCCCTGCCCCCACCAACCCTCTATTCCATTCCGTTTCTGCTCTCCAGGGGGTGAGGGGCCTTCCATGGGGAAATCTTCAAAGTCTGTCATGTCATTTGGAGCAGGGCCTAGGCCCTCCCCTGTGTGTCTAGGCTGAGAGAGTATCCCTCCATGTGGAGTGGGCTCCCAAAGTCCATTCGTATGCTAGGGATAAATACTGACCAGCAGCCCCATACATTGTCAAGACCTCATCACTGACACCCAGGTTCAGGGGGGTCTTGATCCTATGCTGGTTTCCAAGTCTGGGGTCCATGAGCTCCCCCTTGTTCAGGCTAGCTGTTTCTGTGGGTTTCTGCAGCCTGGTCTTGACCCTTTGCCCATCACTCCTCCCTCTCTGCAACTGGATTCCAGGAGTTCAGTCCAGTGTTTAGCTGTGGGTGTCTGCTTCTACTTCCATCAGCTACTGGATGAAGGCTCTAGGATGGCATATAAGGTAGTCATCAATCTCATTCTCGGGGAAGAGCATTTAAGGTAGCCTCTCCACTATTGCTTAGATTGTTAGTTGGTGTCATTCTTGTAGATCTCTGGATATTTCCCTAGTGCCAGATTTCCCTTTAAACCTATAATGGCTCCCTCTATTATTGTATCTCTTATCTTGCTTTCCTCTATTCTTCCTGACTCAACCTTCCTGTTCCCTCATGTTCTCCTCTCCCCAACTCTTTCTCCTAGCTCCCTCTTCCCTCCCCCCATACTCCCAATTTGCTCAGGAGATGTGTCCCTTTGCCCTTCTCCAGGGGACCATGTATGTCTGTCTCTCTTAGGGTCCTCCTTGTTTCCTAGCTTCTCTGGTGGTGTGGATTGTAGGCTGGTAATGCTTTGCTCCATGTCTAAAATCCACATATGAGTGAGTATATACCATGTTTGTCTTTTTGTGACTGGGTTACCTTGCTCAGGATGGTTTCTTCTAGTTCCATCCAATTGCTTTCGAATGTCAAGATCTCTCTCTCTCTCTCTCTCTCTCTCTCTCTCTCTCTCTTTCTCTCTCTCTCTAAATAGAGTTTGCAAGGGCTGTATAAATCAGAGACATGTCTGCTTTCTTAAGGAATTGAAGGCCAGAATATTCTGTGTTGACTTTGCTGTAGAAATCCTCCCTTCATGGGGCACCTTCTGTTTACTCCTGAGATTCCTCCCTCATCAAATCTGGGCACACAGGTTCCCGTGGGACAGAATACCCTCCCTGGGGCTGTCTTTTCCAGTTCTATGCTTTTGCCTCTGTCATCCCCCTGCCGTGGTCTTGGAGCTTGTAACAAAACCACAGGTGTTACAAACTCTAAATTGGAATTGGATATTGGATGCATAAACGTGCACTAATTACACAGCTGTTTTAAATTGTGGTTAAGTGGCCAAAAACTGCCAGGAAGCCCCACCCACATTCATTACTGCCTAAACGAAAGGGACGAGTGTACAGTGATTACCAGGCTTCCTCCAAATCCCCCAAGCCATAGAGCACTTTCCTAATTGTCAGCTGGACTGTGCAGGCTTGTTTAAAATAATTAGATTGCTGCAGCAGCAGCCTCAGCAGCGAGCCTCGGTGTAGGTTTTTATAGCAGACACTATCAGTTTCCTGTTCATTTTTGACACTATCCTTCTGCCAGCCTGGAAAACCGGGAAGAGGAAAGAGAAGAATTATCCTTAATGTACACAAATAATGCAGCTCAAAAGTCAGGAAGCCTGAACATGGCGTGTGAGATGGATGGAAACAATTCCACAAACAAATCTAAACTGGGGGCCGAAGATGGCGTTCTCATTTTTTTTTTTTCTTTTCCAAGAGGGATAGCTGAAATCTTTCTTAATTACCGCTTATTCCGATGACAGAATTGTAATTTATCATTTAGTTGTAATTTGACATATGTTCACACCTTTGCCATTTCCAATTTCCTCCTTCATTCTAATTGTCTGCTTCACTCGCCTGTCATGCGCGTCTCTTGGGATTAATTCGAGCTGTCTGTCTGCACCAGGCTACCAGCACACTTGGGGCTGCCGAGAGCGTGACAGTGTCAGTGTGCACACAGTTTATCTGAGGCATTACCCAGCCATCACGTTCCCGGATCTCCTCTCCCATTGCTGTTTACTGTTTATTCCACTTTGCATTTGTGACTTTTCCGTGTTTTATTAGACTCTAATTATGCTCTTGGCTGTCAGCTGTAAGAGAGAAAACGTTACATTAATTGCAGAAAACGGGAGGTGCTTAGGACCGGTAGAAGATGGACTAGTAGGTGTCTCTCTCTCTGTCTCTGAGATCCAGGCATTGTTTAAACACTTGCCTTGTCACACTTGGCTCTGGATCCTTGATAGAAGCCTGTACTCAAACATAAACATTGGAGCATTCCAGTTAATGAAGGCTTTTTATGCACAAGCAGTTTTCCCCTCATTTTATCTAAGACTAGGTAAATTGGCACAGTAAGACATGAACCTGAGTTTTCGGCTCACCGTGTTTTCTCTTTTAAAGGTCAATTGTTTAATTCATAGATGCTTTCAACACACATGGTGTGGGGCTGTGATAGTATGGAGAACACTCAGTGAACACTGAGAAAGACCAGGTTTTTCAAAATGTATTTGGTTCATTAGGAACAATCTATAACCCCTCCCTCCCTCCCTCCCTCTCTTCCTTCTTTTCTTTTCTTTTTTTATACTAAGATTTGAACCCAAGGCCAAATCTGTGCATGCTGGGCAAGCTATCTATCGGTGATCTCCATTCCTAGATTTAGAAGCCAATAACCATTCTTTTAAAAACTCTCTGGTTAGGGAGATGGTTCAGAAGGTAAAGCATTTGCCATGTAAGAGTCAGGCTCTGAGTTTGGGCCCCCAGAATACATGCAAAGCCGAACATGGTACTGAGTGTCTGCAATTTCAGCTGTCCTCAGTGTAGTGGACTCCCCTGTACAGGGCCACAGCTAGGAAAATGCAGCAGGAGTATGAGGCTTCCTCAGGACAAAATGGAAGTTGGGAACCAATGCCCTTCACATGAGCCCACCATGCAGAAGTACACACTCACATATGTACACACACACACACACACACACACACACAGAGAGAGAGAGAGAGAGAGAGAGAGAGAGAGAGAGAGAGAACATTAAAAAATCTGTTTCACAAAGCTCCGCAATAGTTTCTGCGTATGTCACTTTCTCCAAAAATGTCTTTGGAAATGAAAGACTTCTTATTAGAGTCAACTTAAACTATGAAATTCGAGCATTTTGGTCTCCTTCTAAGCAGAGTCTCATTGCAAGTAAAACTTCTTGATAACATGAAGCAGAGGCCGGACATTCTCGTCCACCCCTCTAGGCCATGAAGAAGGGCTGGATACATTGAGTTAGTTTCATCATTACTCCCTGGCCCAGAAGAGTGAAAGCAGTTTCTTGTACTAGCTCATTATCTGTGGCATGGAGCTTCTATTTTGTTTCTCCCCTCATAATTTTCTCAATCTTGCTTCAGGTGATTATGGGGCTGATGATATTCTGTAAATTAGATCGCCCCCTTTATTGTAATTCTACCAATTAAAGTTCTGTTAATTATGTTTTTTGGCTTCAGACTCATAGCTTTAATTCTATATACTAGAAACCACTATGCCACTGCATGGTCATTATTTCACAAATTCTCAGCTAGTGCAATACCTGTACTGCTATAAATATATACATTAAACCCCATTGCTAAGAGTCAGGATTTAATGGAAACTCATATGGCAGGGGGCAAGCAAGTCACAGTTTGTAAATTATGGTATCTGTTTACAAGGCTTGTAAAATATTGTCTAGACTTTTAAAAGTCTTTCAAATGATAGATAATAAATTTCTGATGTTTATCTAGACTACCTTAGTTGTATAACTTACTACTAAAATATCTAAAAATGCCTTTTGAGTACAACTGAATGCTAAACTTAATTTTTATTTTTCCATTCTCTTTTCTGGGATAACTTTGTTCTGAAGTATCACTGAAGTCTAAATGGAGCTTTGCAAATGCAGTTACAATAAAATGGAGTCAGTTATAATAATCTAAATCCTAGCAGACAGACTTTTCTAGTTTTTGCTCTTTTAGATAAATATGTTGAAAACAGAAGAAAGGGACATGTGGAAATCAAAAAGAGATGTTCAAAAGGTGAAGAAAGACAATAGTCGGGGCAGATGGAAGGCTGAACTTACGGGTCACATTATCAACGTGTGCTGAGTACAACAAAAAGCTGAATGGCCACTGACGTCATGTAATAAGTGAGATTTTATGTTTCAGAAGATTTGTTTCACATCATCTTTTCTCTATTTCCTAGTTATTTTTCAGTTGTCTGAAAATAATACAAGATGTTGACTATCAAATATCCCCCTTTCCAGATGGGTTCTTTGCTCAAACAAGAGATCTCACTGGAAAGTTCTGTGGGGAGCTACTGATAAGATTTTACCTTAGCTATTATTTTTACATGTTTGCTGCTGTTCTAACTCCTTTGCTTCCTTTTGTAGTGCTCAGTAATTTCGTTTTGTTCTGCATGTGCAGACCCACTGTATCCAGACAACATGACAGGTCATGACTGCTGGGTTGATTGGTTCATTCACTTCTTCTCGTGTTCTTTCAGCAGGGGGAAGTCGCAGGGACCAAGAAAGAAACTGTTTCTGTATTCAAGGAGCTTGTCTCCAGCTAATTATTCATTCTTTTTACTGATTCCTACTATCATTTCTGTCGGTGTGAGTTATTCATACTTTTCTCCCTTCATGTATTCCTAGCAGCCCTGTAAACTAACCTATCCTTGACGACGCGGTAAATCTCAATCTTCCCATCAGCCTAACTGTTCTAACTCACACAGAGATGGGAATTTCAAGTTTTAATTTTTAACTTTCTTTTTCTTTACTCTTGGTGTCTTTCACATCATGCGTCTCGATTCCATTTCCCGGTCCCTTCATATCTGCCCTCAGCCTTTTCAATCTTCCTCAAAATAAAATTTAGGAGCAAAATAAAAAAAAAAAAAAGAAAAAAAATAAAAAGGAAAAAATTAATCTCATCATGGAAGCTGTAGTGTGACTCATGCTAAATATATATGGCTATATTTTATTCATACATCTTTATTTGCAAGTGTGCTTTGCAAAGAGTCATTGGTCTGGTCTGAGGCCTCGGGGCTCTGCTACACTATCAGTACTAGGCCCTCACTAGTATTCTTCTTGGATATCCTGATGTTGCCCCGTGTCTTGGAGGTCCTGAAGCTTTGGGTCTGATGGACCAGCCCCTTCACGTGCTCTAGGAGATCATAGGTGGGGTGGATGTTGGGGTGGGTCAACTCACAGCCCTGCTTCTGAGTCTGGGTAGTTGCAGTGTTGGTGGGGCTGCCAGCTCTCCCCTGGCCTCACCACCAGGGTGAGCTCTCCAGCATTGCCCTGGCTAGTTCATCCCTTGCAGCAACCACGCAAGTAGGGGGGGGGGTTCTCCTCCTTTCATGCCCTCAGAGTCAGATCCCCCACAGCTACATCTTCAGGATCTGCTCAACTGTGTTGCCCGGAAATGGCATCGGGGCCACATTCCTGAGTGCTGCCACTGATGAGGGGCAGGGCCAGCTTTCTCACCTGCCTTGGGTATTGATGCTGGGGTGGCTTCTCTCCCCTGGCCATGTCTCCACATGACAGATGAGTAATGGAAACAGCTCTCCCATGTGAACAACTACAGGGGTTGGCTCACCCACACCTCCAACATGATTGGCTCTGTTGGGCTTCCCAGGCAAGGTGCAGGGCCTGCTCATGTGCTTGTGGCAGGGCAATGCATCTGCCAATAATGTCAGCAATACTGTGCTGCCCAGGTAGGGAGCAGGGTGTGCTTTCCTGAGGGTGGCAGCTGGTAAGTGGGAAGGCCAGCTCCCATGCCTGTCACAAGCAGAGGGGGAAGGGGGAAAGGGAGGGCAACTTTCCCCTGCCCACACCTCTGCATGACAGAGAGTAGTGGGGAGAGCTCTCTCAGACTCACAACTTCAGGGCCAGTTTACCAACAATTCTGCCAATCAGGTCAGCTCCACTGTGCTGCAGAAGCAAGGTGCAGGGCCTGCTCTCCCAAATGCTGCAGCTGGTGAAGAGTACAGGCAGCTCTCCTTATGACCTCAGGGCCAGCTCTCCCACCCGCCTCAGTTATAGGGGGGTGGAACGCTCTCCTCCATGCCACCATACAACAGATGAGGGGCAGGTACAGATCTCCCAGGCTCATGTTCTCGGGCTGACTCACCCTTGCCCTTGTCAACAGGGGCAGCTCTGCTGTGCTGCCCAGACAAGGTGCAGGTGCACGGCCTGTTGGGAAATTTCATTTTTGTTTACACATTACATATGTGTTTCTTTAAAAATAGTTTTATTGGATCTTGACCTGCTTTATTTATCTCCCCACAGCACAGCAATGTCTCTTAAGAAAGTCTGTATATTGCAATAATTTATGAAGATCTTTTGTGGTCCACTTCTTCTAAACTCTGTATATCATGTGTCAGAAATGCATTTGTTTAAAACCCTTCACAACAGAATCTGCCACTACTCCATCTAAGCCGCCCCCAGCCTTCACTGATAGACCTCAGAACTAGTTGATCTCTGTATTAACCATATTATACTGTGTGAGCCTCCGTAGCCTCGGGGAAGTGAAATCACCAGTTTTTCCTCACTACATAAGCATGAGAAGGCACTCTATTTTTATTTTGTTATCTTTTAGAAAAATCTGATAACTGACAACTTTAAACTTGTGTCCAATGATGAGAGAAAAAAAAGCATAAAGAAATGTATAACTTATTTTATCTCATACAAAACTTTCTGACAGTGTTTCTAATTAAAGAATAGCATGGAAGGAATAATACAGATAGAAAAACAAGAATCTTGGCTGTAGAGATGTCTTTATTGTCTTAAAATATCAAGATAATTCATAGTAAAAGAGAAGAACATATTTATTAAAATTTTAAGTTTGAAAGACTACCTAGCAGAATTATGGACCTAGAGTACAGCCAAATAATATTAAGTTTTAAAAACAATGTTTCGGGAAAAAGTGACTCCTAATGTAATCTGCTGTATTCATAGATCAATGCCTTGTTCAACCATTATCAGAGAAGATTCCTCCTTCAGCTGATGGGAACAAATATAGAAACTGGACCCAGATAGGACACATAGTTTGAGAGACCTGGGAACATTCAACACTAATGGGATGTCTCCACAAATCCTCCCCACAGAGTTTATGGTACCCCATGGAAGAGAAGGCAGAAAGAGTGTAAGAGCCAGAGAAGATGGAGGTTATCAAGAAAACAAGGCCCTCAAAATCAGCATGGGCAAAGCTCATATGAACTCACAGACACTGAGGCAGCATGCAAAAGGTGTGCAGGGATCTGCACCCAGTCCTGTGGCTTCCAGTTTAGTGTTTTTATGGGATCCCTGAATATGCAAACGAGTAGGTCTCTGATTCTTGTGCCTTATCTTGGACTCTTTTCCTTCTGTTGGTCTGTCTTGTCCAATTTGTTGTGATAGTTTTTGTTTTATACTATTATATTTTATTTTGCTACGTTTTTAAAAAAAATGGATGAATGAACGAATGGATGGATGGATAAAAACCTAGCTACTGGGATAAAGGTCAGCAACTGAGCTGTCAGTGATACTTTCTGGGAGATGGGGGAAGGAAAATTTTGCCAATGGAGTGACACTGGGTATATCAATAATACCAGGGCAAATCTCATGTTTGGGAGTAGCTGACCAACATATAATGTACTCCACAGGTTTTGTTGTTGTTGTTTTGGTGTGTGTGTGTGTGTGTGTGTGTGTGTGTGTGTGTGTGTTTATTTGGTAACAGTTTGTTGTTTTGGGGGTATATGTGTGTTTTATTTTTGTTTTCTTGGCTTTTTTTTGATGGTGGTGGTGGTGGGTGTTGTATTGTTTTTTGTTACTTGAGAAAGAAGTTAAAGTTGGCTGAGTAGGGATGTGGAGAGATCTGAAAAGGCTTGGGAAAGTGGAAGAATATGATCAAAATACATTTAAATTCTAAAATTGCTTTAAACAATAAACATATAATAAAGACAAAGAAATTAGGCAAATGAGAGGAAAGTGGTGTGCAGACACTGGGGGGGTGTCCAAACACATGAATACAAAATAATTGTAAGGGAAAAATTCTTTTAAAACATTATTTCTCTTAAATTAGGTCTCAGTGATAGGGCAACTTGCCTAGCATATATAAGAAAAGTCTTCTTAGATTCATTCCTCGGGGAAGGAAAGAAAGATGTCTTAGGGTTTCAATTGTTGTGAAGAGACACCATGACCACAGCAATTCTTATAAAGGAAAACATTTAATTAGGGTGACTTACATTTTCAGAGGTTCAGTCCATTCTTACCACAGTGTGACAGGGTGGTGTGCAGGTAGGCATGCTAGAGAAGTTGATGAGTGCCCTACATTTTGGCTTGCAGACAACAGGAAGTAGTCTGTCTCACTGGACATGGCTTGAGCATATATGAGACCTCAAAGTCTACCTCCACAGTGACACACTTCTTCCAACAAGACCATACCTTCTAATAGTGCCACTCCCTTTGGGGGCCACTTTCTTTCAAATCACCATAGAAGGAGAGATGAAAGGTAAGTAGAGGGAAAGAAAATTCTTAACTTAAAACAATTAACTGTTAAATATATAAATATGTTGAAATACTGCCTAGAAGAACTCTATAGACCATCTAATAAATCTAACTATGATTGAATTAATTTGGTATTCTTGGCAAGATGAAGTTAAGGACATTTGAAATTATTCCTAAATGGGCAAATAAGCTACCCAATTACTCATTAAGAAGGCAAATCAAGGTGTCTGATAATCACAGTAGGTATGACCATGGAAGGTAGCTTCAAGGCACATCAATCTAAAAGACTGTGACTGATTGGAGGAAAGTTAAGAGATGTGTGAAAACTACATGACCTAAACGTAGAATGCAGGGTCCAGCTGACATGAATATTAAGCTCTAGGTTATCTGCATTGTATGTTGCTTCATTAATTTCAGGGTTTCTTTTTAACAAACAAAGGAAATAATATGAGAATACAGAAAAAAAGACAAATCATCCAGTTATGGAATATCAGATTCCTTAAAAAGAACTCTACCCCCCCAAAAAAAAACCTAAATTGAGCATTTTTGTAAAAAAAAAATCTGCTTAAAGACATAAAAAGTAAATTGAGGTTAGTTCCATGAATTTCAATTAAAAACCACTAAGAATATTATTTATATTATATATCATTTGTAATGGTTTGAATGAGAAGTGCCATGTCCAGCATAGGTTAGTTATCTGAGCACTTCTGCAGCTGGTTGTGTGCACTGGGAAGGTTATGGAACACTTAGGAAATGAAGCCTTGTTGAAGGAAATACATCACTGGGGGTAGGCCTTGAGGTTTTATTGTACAGCCCACTTCCTGTTCTCTGTTTCCTGTATGCAGAAGAAATGTGATCACCCAGCCACCATGTCTTTACTGCCTGTTGTCATGTCTTCCCTTTCATGACAGACTCAATCCCTCTGAAACTATAAGCTAAAGCAAACATTCCTTCCTCCTAAATTGCTTTTGGCTAGGGTATTCTAGAACAGCAGCAAAAAGGTAACTATATACTGTTCATCCCTCTTCCTATAATTCCTAGCAATAACATACACCATAAAAATTTATATAGGCAAGAAAAAATTTCAATATAAAGATACTGATCTATACACAGGATAGTAAGGGAAAAGTAAGGAATACAATAGTGTATAATTAAATCAGAATTATCTGTGTAAAAAATGATTCTTTATGGAGAGAAAAATATATCAGGATAATGTATAGAATAAATAGCACAAGAGTCAGTAGACTAACGAGGAGAGTTCAAAGACTGCCAATAAAAAATGCCAAAATAAAATATGGAATATTTTATTTTGTGTTATGGGAAATATTTATTTTCCCAAACAGTTTTTGTTTACTCTGCAAGAAAAGACTGGCTATTTAGGAACATTAGAAGTGAAGTGTCTATTTACTAAATGATACTATTAGACAAGTGAAAACTAAGCCACAGGACAGAAAATAAATTTAGTTATGCATAATTGACAAATTATTTGTAGGCACAAAATATTTAAAAATTGCCCAAGAATTAACCAAGAAAAATAAAACACAAAAGAGTGGCAATAAACACAGTAAAATCATTCAGCTTCATCAACTAAAAATCCCCATGGGAGAGGTGCCACTACACAGAGCCTGGAAAGGGAAGATAAAGTACACTAACAGGTACCCATATTATAAAAATGGCATAACCAGAACTGTCAGCCTACAGTGGTGCCTACAGGTTTGAATACTCACACATACACTGTTACATCTAAATTCTACTCCAGGCGTACCTATAAGAACTCAGCTGAACTCTGGAATCCAGTTGCAGAGAGGGAGGAGTGATAAGCAAAGGGGCCAAGACCAGGTTGAAGAAACCCACAGAAACATGTGACCTGAACAAGGGGGAGCTCATGGACCCAGGACTGATAGCTGGGAAACCAGCATAGGACTGTTCCCGACCCCCTGACAGAGGAGGTCTGTTTGGAGACCTGGGTGATCTTTGGAGCCTCTGGTAGTGGATCAGTATTTACCTGTAGTACAGGAATGGACTTTGGGAGCCCACTCCACATAGAAGGATACTCTCTCAGCCTAGACACACAGGGGAGAGTCTAGGCCCTGCTCCAAATGCTGATAGACTTTGAAGATCCCCCATGGAAGGCCTCGTCCTCCCAGGGGAGCAGAAAGGGATTGGGGTAGGGGAGGAGGGGAGGGAGAGGGAACTGG